ATGTAGAGAGAAAATGCAAAAGTCAACTTCGAGTCAACTTTATTTAGATGGCTCTAGATGTATCACCCTGTATATATATTATAAGTTTAACAAAAAAACATTAAATGTTAGCACTTTAGAGGTATAATATGTTAAATCACATTTTTTCGAAAATTGAATTATTATTATTACAAGATTCTATACTCCAATTTTTACTCAATGGTAAATGTTTTCAATAAAAAGAGAGATATTGACTATATAAAATTAAATAACAATGTGATGACACATTCATCAGATAAACAGTATTAAGTCACATTAAAATTATATTTCGTAATTACACAATTCCACAATTCCATTTTCTGAAACATATTGAAGTTTGATATTATATCTGCGATAAAAAAATCTGCAATGCATTATAAAAGTATTTTACTGAGAGCATATTGAAAGCGAAAAATCTCTTTAGATCCTTCTTCTAAAAACTTATGTTCATGTATGACTTAATATAGTATACCTCTGAGGTGCTTATACATATAAGGAAAGATTTAAGATTTTTACTTGGAAACGTTTGTACTGAATATGACAAACTCCCACTGACGTCCAAAAATGGAAACAACCACAGATGAATGGATATGTTTGAATGCAAATTACACGTTGGCCACTGCAATCTTGAATAAATATGAGCAATGGCACCAAAAGACACACTACATTTATATGACTTAAAACGGCTAATATCTTAAAGCGGATTATTTGCCATTTTGTAGCAGTAATTGGCAATGGCCAAGAAAGGGATGGAAATAAGCTCCATTTTATATAAACAATAACACTTTCTAGCGTTATCTTTCTCGACATTTTATCACTGAGAACTGAAAACTGAGAAATAAGTTAGCAATTCTTGAATTTGTACAATAAAAAGAAATATAGTAAAGTATATACCGATGCTTGGAATTAAATTTTAACCAATTTCAGTGGCCGACACTCACCTTTCTTACCGCACGCGCCGTAATAGCTAGAACTACGATACGGAGAAAAATCAATGATTATAATGACTATGATTATACGTGCAAGTGGAAATATTTCTACGTGTTTTCCCTTCCTTGATGCAATTTACTGCATTTGTTTAAATTACAAGAGAATTAATAAATCATTGCGCTCTAAAGTACGAAGATATCTGCGCGGTTATCGCAATTATTTTTCGCTATTTTCCGCTAAGATGCAATATAATATGAAACGTCGGTACGTTATCATTTTCATGTATAAACTATTTCTAACAACATATTATATTCGCATAATGCTAAAAAAATGATGTAGTGATTTCACGAATATATTAATAAATACATAAAAGTTCTCTCAAGTTGGAAAATTATTTGAATGAGGTATCTTGCAATAACTAAAGTAACTTTTTTCCACAAAATATCTCAGTCACTAACCGATGGTAGATGCTGTTTGTGAAATAAAAGGCGAAAAATTCAACTTTAAACCTATTAAATTGTAAGTAAACACAGTGTGACAATTAAATTTCCGGACTGAAGCTACAAAAAACACACAAAAAGGATCGAAAATATTTATTAATACCATAATTTAATATAGTCCCTGTCTGCTTCCAAACAACATTGCTTATACCAGATGTTCTAAATTAAGCGTTACAAATTTTTATCTCAAAAACACGGCATTTTTTTTCAAATATTGGGCATTGCAAAAATAAATGTTGTTGTTGTTTAAGGGTATATTTTACAGATATATATAGGAAAGTCTTAATTTCAGTGAGATAGGAATTAAATTTTAACCAATTTTCGTGGCCAATACTCACTTTTCTTATCGTATGCATCATAATAGAATTATATACAATACGGAGAAAAGCATCAATGACTGTACATAACGACTATGATTATACGCGCACGTGGAAATATTTCTGCATATTTTCTCTTCCTCGATATATGCATTTATTAAAACTATAAAGGAATTAATAAATCATTGCGCTATAAAGCACGAAGATATCTCTTCGCGGTTATCGCGATTATTTTCCGCTATTTTCATAAGATGCAATGTAATATTAAACGTCGGTACGATCTCACCGGCAAAAGATGTGGATTGTAACGAACGCAAAACAGGTGACTTTGTCACTGTCGACACAGTGCCATCATCTTTCAAGACTGCCGGTTCATCAGATACTTGCAGAAACTTCTCAACAAGCGCCGAGGATTATATGAACGACCGGAAAAAATTAGATGCGCAAATCGATTCGACGAAGATCGGCAGACCGGGCGAATATCAAGGAACAGAAAATCTCACAATATCGAGCGTTAAATCTGACTTCGGCGGCATGCTAGACATGACAACGTTACACAAAAAGTCGTCAGCCGATATGGGAGATTCTTTAAATTTTTCCAAAGATCGTTAAACTTTAAAAACGTATTCAATAAAAAAATTGATAATATTGATATACAGTATTATTATCTAAGAGAATCATCATATTCTAAAAATCTAGAATTTGTACATTATTTTGACTAATTTTCTCTTAAAATAAATAGTTTTAATGAAACTATAAACTTTGACAAAGAAAAATTAATAATTCACAATATTTATATAATTTGAAAATTGCATATAATATAGTTATTTTAAAGTATAAATTGTCAAATTGTTTTTTAAGATATTTATCATAAATAATATTGAGAAATTTGCGATATAAAATATTATATGATTATAATACAAGCATTATTATAATTCTAATAAATTTGATTGTACAGTATTAAAATTTGTACTTATCAAGATTGTATGAATTTTTGAAATTAACAATTTCTAAGTAGAAGCTGCTTATATCTATACCTTGCTTACGTTAATAATGATTTTCAAAGCATAATATTATCGATCTTTATTAAAAGTTTGTTAAACATCGACGCTATCAATCATTTAATTATTACTAATGTAAATCAGTATTTTCTACAACATATAATAATACAAACAAGTACATGACTAATGGAAAAAATAGCGAAAAAAGATAAAAAACGTCTAATACTCGAATTTATTTTTTGCTTTTTATATTATGCTGCATGTATGAAAGAGTACGTGATTTATAAACATTAAATGTGAATTTTACATTGATCTTTACACAAACAAATGGACCTATTTAGTTTAATTCCATATGTTTAAAAATATTACAACCATATTTATATCTTTTTAAAAAAATTTTTTAAATAAATAATTATATAAAAATAAAAAATTTAATTATTTATTGTTTTCAAGCATTTTGCTAGAAATAAATATAATACAATGATTTTAATATTGTTAAAATAACAATTGGTTTGTATCATTGATGTTTGAAATAAAATAAACATTCATAACTAGACATTCGTAATAAGTTTGTTGTACAAAACGTTTTAAGAATATTTCAGCGCAATATATAAAAATTTAGCATATTCAAACTTTTACTGTAAATGGAAGTTCAATGCAATGAAGGGAACACAGCCTAAGTGTCCGACGCCGATTTAATTTTTCCGTATTTCGAAATATGTTGTTAAACATAAAATGGTTAGAAGATACCTATTGTTTTATTCGTGTTTTATACCAAGCGACGGTTTAAAAAGTCAAACCACCCCTTTAAGCTAATTCGGTGTGTTCGATTTTGAAGGAATATTGTCGAAACTAAAAGGTATATAAAAATATATTTTAGACAAAAGTTCTATGATTTCACCTGAACTTTTTATATAACTTGCTTATATATTACATAATGTATTAACTAGTATAAACTAGTAATCAGCTTATAATAATTCTTCACCACAGAGTTAGACTTCGTTTGTATTATTTTCCGTCATCATCATATGCAAAGTCGTCATATAAGAAAAGCCCGTTGAAAGATACTAAATATAGTAATATATACATACATACATACGCACACAGATATATATATGAACATCTTAGAGATAAACTGTGTTAAGTCACATTTTTTCGAAAATTGAGTTATTGTTATTACAAAACTGTATACTCCAACGTTTACCCAATGATTAATGTTTTCAATGAATATTTTTATTTCAATAGAGATTTTGACTGTATAAAGTTAAGTCAAATATCTTATATCAGTGAATACAAAAGAAATCTGCAAAACATTATAAGTATTTTACTGAGAGAATATCAAAAGCAAAAAATCTCTTTAGATCCTTCTCTTAAAAAGTTATGTGACTTAACACAGTTTACCTCTGAGATGTTCATATGTATGTATGTATGTATGTATTATATAATAATATGTATATGTATATATACATAAACTTTTTTAAATTTATTTTTATTAATATACTAACACAAAATGATAAAATTGTTTTTTTCTTACCGAACTAAAGTATCTTAATGATAAAATTGGTATGAAGCAACCGACAGTAAGAATAACTGGTTTCCGGCATTTTAATAGAATGAAAATCAAATTCTTTTGCTTGTCTGTATTATGATAATACCATAGAGATTCATAAGTCGCTTGGGCAATGTCCGAACTCTGTTATATAAGTTAAAATCATATTTTATGTTACGATAAATTATAATTGATTAGTATACACACAATATTATATTAGAAATTAGAAATTATTTGAATATTTTTTGCCAATAAGATAAAATATATATACGTACTGCAGTTAACAGACTGTCGGCGGGCCAACAACACGTAAACACATCACAAAAACTGATGACAGTCATCAAAAAAAACTGTACGTTGATAATTAATGGTTGTCGCTGTTGAGATTTATCAAATAAAATATGATTTTACGATAATATGATGTTTACTTCTCTATTGCTACCGCATATATTTAAATCAAAAGTCAATTAGAACTTTATTCCATTTTTTATGTGTAATAAGACTTACAGTGGCAAAAATGGCACCGGTACATATTACGGATATTGCATTAGCCCCTACTACTGTCAAAACCAGAAAACGAACATTTTCAATAACATCGTTAGCGTATCTGAAAATTCATATTTGTGTTCCATGTTATAGTTGTAAGTTTGAATTTTATGCTATCAATTAGCTTGAAATATATATAAATTGCACATGCCACAAATAATTATTTTCTATGAATGTTTTTTCACATTTCTTCCGCTTTATTTTAAATGCAGAATTAGTTATTATAAAATGGGTGATTTTAATTGTACCGGTTTGATCATAATCTTACCGTAGCAATTGCTGGTGTTTCTGAATGCACTGTATCAATTCGTAAACAGTTAACGCCTTTCGTAATTCGTTGCATAATATGTCGAACCTAGCTGTCGTAAACCAAAGTAAAAGTGCAACGAGCAAACTGACGCACAACATTGACGAGAACTGTAGGCCACTTAAACTTTGCTGCGCATAAATAATAGTTTTTAGCGGTTGATAATTTACATCAAACGGATATTTAGCATAAGTTGGAAAAGGCGCGGATGTGAACAATGGTGCGCTTATGGCTACACATGTTGTCGAATAAAATGATATCATCACCACAGCATAAAATGTCGCGCATCTGTCGACATATTGTTGCAAAACAGTTTTCTCGTAATCTGTAGCATGTTTACAGTAACTTTCCATCTCAGCAATCAATGACTGCAATATATTATTGATATTTTATAACACAAACAGTATAAAATGTGTAAGAATTACATGTTACGTCCTGATCAGACTTCACGCTTCTTTTCTTTTCGGATGAACTAAAATACTAAACACCAGACATAGTAAACGCGACACAGACCAAAATTCTAGATGATTATTTTAACGCCGAAGTTACTTTTCCTATGGGACTTTGTGAGTTTGACTTTTCTCACGGAATCTCGAGTAAAAGTAGCAGGTGGAGTCAATATTCTAAACCACTTTGACCAACCAACGTCCACTTGTCGTCGCCAAAGTCATAAAAATTGAAATTTTATTTTGTTCTGGCATTTTCGGCGACTGCAAATCGTAAACTAAAAGATAAGCTGTTACTTACAGGCAGTTAGCTTACACTCATAGATTCCGACAAAGGGGAATCCTGTCAAGTAGATAAAATATGCTGAGCAATAGTCGAAGTTGAGAGCGCCATGAAAACTTGAAATTTGATACCGCGCACGTGTTCAGTATGTCTGGGAAACCGAGATGCATTGGCTTTCTACTCGTCTCCAAAGCACGCGACCATCATAAATTGCCTAAAATATTAGAACCGTGACCTAAGATACTGTCAACCTGTTCTCCATTGAATTTCAACCCTCCAACCCAAAGAGAACAACAGATCTAAAAAAGGTCTATAGACGTCTATTAGACGTCTATTAGACGTTTCTTAGACCTGTGGTTTTCCCTGGAAATCAGATAGTCTAGAATTAGGTCAACCGCTTCTATGAACTATCCAATGGAAAACCCCATCTTAGATCTTCAAAAAGTAGATCTTAAGACACTGAGATGCACCCCACTGAGCTAATTAATACCAACCAGATTATGTTATTCTGAAACCTACTTCCCATGGATCCTAAGCAACACTACTTCTCATTCGTTAGGGTCCTTTATAACATTCCTATCATGAATAACATCATAATCTAATCCTATTCTGGAAGTGACACCATCCTCCCTCACATTAAAATGTTTTTATAAAATTAATCTCTGTTTGGACCCAAAAAAGGAATCCACCACAATAAAGGGATATAAAAACTCGTGTCCCAGATGATTCCGTCGACGTTCGTTATCAAAAGATCGTCTCAAATTTCGTTTTCTGTAGCATCAAAAAGTCTCTTTTGTGCAGTCCGTGTAAGAGCCTTAGCAAAATGGCTGACTTGTAAGATTCCAAACACAAGACAGTATTGTGCGTTACTTCAAGACAAAAACTTAAGACATAAAACATTGTCTTGAAATTACAAGTCAGTCATTCTACTAAGACCCTAAGTTTTCAAGAATTCTCAGAAGTAAATTTCGAACTTATTGTTAGTCGCTAACGGTTTCTTTTGTCCAATTGGGACTTCGTCGCGAACGAACGTTCTTTTTGTGTCATCTTCAGTGTCGCCACGAGTTCCGCTACCCTGGGATCCTCCTGAGATCAACAACTCACACGGGCTCATCTTTTACATTATTTCAACTTTCCTGCTAACAACCCATTTTCTATATTTCTCTCTTTCTTCTCGCACATTTACTTTTTTCCTCTCCCTCTTCCTTTGCAACATTCTAAATTTTATCTTACCTCTTGAAAAATGACACTTACACAACACTACTACCTTAGTTTAATTACTTTTTATACTATTATAAACGCATTGTAACAAGACAAATTTTTTTAATTATATGTAAACCTCACACCAATAATCTCAATAAATCTGATTAAATTTATTTTTTTTTTTTACTTTACTTCTAAGATCCTCCTCGTTCATTTTTTTTCTCTCTTAGATTTTGCACAAGAATTCCTCCTTGGTAAAAAGGATTTAATTCATTGACTTAAAAAAGAACCTGCGAATGGTTGATCTACTGACGAAGTAATACGACCCTCCTAGTCGCTCGTTCCAACAGACTGTCCGGCTCGCGCGATCAGGCCCGTTCACATTGATCGCCAAGTGTAAAATCTTTCTATCAGGACGTAACATTCACAATGCAAAAGAGATATCAGTCATATTTAGCAATTTAAGATTCTTAATTAATTTATATCTTTCATTTTCAAATATTGAGTATTGCGAAAATAAATGGTTTGCTGTTTGAAGGTAGGTTTTACAAATATGCATAGAAAAGTCTTAATTTCAATAAATTATGATCAAAAGAAAGTAGACAAAATTTTAAGAAAAAATAAAAACTGGAAGTCTTAATATCCATTAATTTTTTATATTAAGAATTTCGTCATAATTTTTTATATTAATGATAAAATTTCTTTTAAATTATATTGTTAGACATTATAATTTTGTATATATACAGAGTGAGGCATCTAAAACAGGCTACCTGAATAACTCGCCTGCTTTTGGAGATAGAAAAAAATGCATCCTGCTTGGTTTCAAGGATATAATCTGATGTTGATCGTTTTTTTGTAGATGAAAATGTAGAGAGAAAATGCAAAAGTCAACTTTGAGTCAACTTTATTTAGATGGCTCTAGATGTGTCACCCTGTATATATATTTATAAGTTTAACAAAAAAAACATTAAATGTTAGCACTTTAGAGGTATAATATGTTAAATCACATTTTTTTCGAAAATTGAATTATTATTATTACAAGATTCTATACTCCAATTTTTATTCAATGGTAAATGTTTTCAATAAAAATAGAGATATTGACTATATAAAATTAAATAACAATGTGATGACACATTCATCAGATAAACATTAAGTCACATTAAAATCATATTTCGTAATTACACAATTCCACAATTCCATTTTCTGAAACATATTGAAGTTTGATATATCTGCGAATATAAAAAAATCTGCAATGCATTATAAAAGTATTTTACTGAAAGCATATTGAAAGCGAAAAATCTCTTTAGATCCTTCTTCTAAAAACTTATGTTCATGTATGACTTAATGTAGTATACTTCTGAGATGCTTATACATAGAAGGAAAGATTTAAGATTTTTACTTGGAAACGTTTGTACTGAATATGACAAATTCCCACTGACATCCAAAAATGGAAACAACCACAGATCAATGGATATGATTGAATGCAAACTACACGTTGGTCACTGCAATCTTGAATAAGTATGAGCAATGGCACCAAAAAACACACTATATTTATATGACTTAAAACGGCTAATATCTTAAAGCGGATTATTTGCCATTTTGTAGCAGTAATTGGCAACGGCCAAGAAAGGGATAGAACTAAGCTCCATTTTATATAAACAATAGCACTTTCCAGTGTTATCTTTCTCGGCATTTTATCACTGAGAACTGAAAACTGAGAAATAAGTTAGCAATTCTTGAATTTTTACAATAAAAAGAAATATAGTAAAGTATATACCGATGCTTGGAATTAAATTTTAACCAATTTCCGTAACCGACACTCACTTTTCTTACCGCACGCGCCGTAATAGCTAGAACTACGATACGGAGAAAAATCAATGATTATAATGACTATGATTATACGTGCAAGTGGAAATATTTCTGCGTGTTTTCCCTTCCTTGATGCAATTTACTGCATTTGTTTAAACTACAAGAGAATTAATAAATCATTGCGCTCTAAAGCACGAAGATATCTGCGCGGTTATCGCAATTATTTTTCGCTATTTTCCGCTAAGATGCAATATAATATGAAACGTCGGTACGTTATCATTTTCATGTATAAACTATTTCTAACAACATATTATATTCGCATAATGCTAAAAAATGATGTAGTGATTTCACGAATATATTAATAAATACATAAAAGTTTTCTCAAGTTGGAAATTTATTTGAATGAGGTATCTTGCAATAACTAAAGTAACTTTTTTCCACAAAGTATCTCAGTCA